CAACTCCTTACTGTTAACTGACCTCGTATCAACTCCTTACTGTTAACTGACCTCGTATCAACCCTTTACTGTTAACTGACCTCGTATCAACCCCTATTTGTTAACTGACCTCGTATCAACGAGGTTAACTGACCTCGTATACTGTTAACTGACCTCGTATCAACCCTTTACTGTTAACTGACCTCGTATCAACCCCTTACTGTTAACTGACCTGTTTGAATTTTTATTCATTTTATTTACTGATATGGAGGGATTACAGTTGCTTATGGAAAAACTGAGAAAGAGATATTGACAAACCTCGGGCGCCCAATCCAGGATTCCAAGTGAATAGAAATTCTGTAAAACCTTAAGTAATAGGAATGAATAATTTAAAATATAAATAAATAAATTTGAAACATAAATAAATATAGTAAATTAATAAACCGGCCATTATACTGCTTTCCCATATTACGAGCCTTTAGAAGGCAAGATGAATTCAAATTGATGAATATCAGTCGCAAGTATAGCCTATGAAAAGAAAGACAGCTAATAAATGACTTTTTTGTTAGGATTTATTGAGCAGATTAAATCGAAGTTATTAGCAAAGCGCAAAAATCAGGAGAAGTTCACTATGCAAATGCGGCTGGTGGCCACTCTGAAAATTATCAGCTTGATTGAAAATTTAAGCAAATATTTTGGGTAAATAGTTTAAAATAGATTTCAGAGAAGCGTCGAAAGTATTATAATATAAGAAAATGTAATGAAAACGCAACAAAATTCGTCCCTGTGCTGAAATAGATAACAGCAGGAAGAACTTTTTTCTTCACCAATGAAATGAAAGCTAAAGATACAATATATAGTCAACTAGATAAACAGCTAAGTTGCAATTAAGAAAAGGCTAACAATCATATATAATTATAAAAACAGATGGATAATTTACCGTGAAAATTTTCTGTTAGCTCCACGTGGGATGTTATCATTATACCAGTGAATGAAGTTAACCTTTCAAATTGTGGTGTGCAATTAAATTCTGCATGTAGTGATTGAAAAGAAATCAGACAGTAATTTTTCATGATGATTTATTATTTCCGACTTGGTAAATAATACACTTGGAGTCTTTATAATAGCCACAAACGAATGTACGGTATTCATCAGTACTGGTGTTAACTTAAGAAATGTACGTGTGCGAGCTGGCAGTGCTCCTTCCGGTCACACATGTGTATTTAATTTTCATAAGCCTGAATTATTGGCTAGTGTTTAATGGAATTGAATTATAAATTGAATTTCGATCTTCAAGAGTCTCCGCAGAACTGTCAGTTACTGAAATATTGTTACTACTTCGCCGACCAGCAACGTAAGCGGTAGTACATATATCACACTTCACGCCTGGACGTCTTTTTAGATTTTCAATAGTCTACATTTCATGCTGTTTCGGAATGTTTGGAAATCAGAAAGCACTACAGCGGTGCTACGACGCACTGAAGTTCATTGGGGTGTTTTTGGAACGAAGGAAACGCACCGCTTCTCCCGTTCGTCGGAATCGAATTGTCCCGCATCTTGGTAACTTAAAAGGGAAAGTCGGTGGCGTTGCTGGAGAATGGCCGCAGTGGATAAACGGATTCCAGACTTACACTTCAAATTGGCAATATGCAAAGACTATTATCTGGTACCTAGTCATGAACGCACTCTATCTCTGCTGCTGCTTGTACATTTACACTACGCGCGACTATTCAGATCGATCCATGACGGGAATATTTATCAATGCCTGGATGGTGATTGCTCCTACGATGGTAATTTTTATATTATTCAGGTGCAATTTCAGCCATCGTTCCTTCGTAAAACTCTTCAAAGTTATCGCCGAAATCTTCTACGCTGAGAATTTCCACGTGGAGCGGGCCATCTATTCACCAGATGTGTGGTTGGCGGTTTGCCTGACTGGTACGCGGTTGACGGTGCTCTACTTGGCCGTAACAAGCGTGATTGCTCTTGAAGACTCCTTCTCCACAGAAGGATTCCGGCTTCTTTTTGACTATTTCATTTATTATGTATTTATGTTGCTGTGTTTTGGTTTAATTTACTCGTATCGGTTCTTCATTGGAGTTCTCACAAAAAGATTCATTGAATCATCAGATTTCCTCGCAAAGTTTGGGACTTCTTACGGATCTTTTGGCACTCTTACTGAAGAATACGTCGTGAACGAGATCTATGTAACTGCTATCTCAACTAGTAAGAGGGGAAAACCGCTGACGATTGCAGAGAAAATTCTGAAGGACATCGAGAACCAAATGGTACTCATTGACCAAGCGCTGGAACTTTTAGAAGACACTTATTCGTGGGTACTCATCGCCATGTCTATCTGGTACCTAACTGACCTGCTGTTCGCATTTTACATGGTGATGACAAACTTCGGGTCGAACGGGGTATCAAACCCAACGATGAGCTTCGTGGTTATCGTCGAGGGGATGAGCATACTTTTCTTGATACACAATCCGGCAGACACTTTACTGGAGGCGGTAAGTGAGAAATTATATTCCACCTTTTACTTCTGGTTTTGTTGGGAAATGTTTCGTCTTAACATTTCCGTGATGAGCGCAGGAGAGCAGCAAAATATTTTCTAAACCAATATCAGCAGTGTAATTTTCTACCAAGTATAGCAATTCATGGATATTCTGTTACATGAAGATTTAATTTTGAGTGTAGATGAAAAATTCCCTATTATACTGTAGTTCTTAGATCTTATTCATGGCTCTATCGTGTATTTAATTTTTTTACGGATAACTTTCCATGAGTAGAGTCACAAACTGTAAAATCAAATCCGCAACGGAAGCTTTTTTAACATTTCACTGCAACGAAAGCTAAAAGTAAAGTTTTAAATCAAATTAGCCGTAAATTAAACTTTTCATTTACTATTCCTTTCAGGAAGAAGATTTTCTCGTACATCTACGAATGTTTATTTGCCACGTGCCAGACGAGGAGCTCTCGAGGGTGAGTTTAGGAGCGGCGAGTAAGAATTTTTCTGCCTTTCTCGGGTTTTCAAAGTTTGTTCACTTTTTTGTGAGCTTAATATGACTCAATCCACATTATAGCTCGAAAAAAGTTTGCATCGCTGAAATATTGACTATATTCGCAAATCCCCAAACAATTTTTTTTAATTGCAGGAAGAAGTTGGTTACAGTTAAAACTGTTAACATTCAATAAGCAGGTACTCTGATTAATTTTTTTATATCAATGATATCTCATGTTTCCGCGCAAGCAATTCGATTTTTATCACTTGCTACGACATCAAATATTTGTTAATCATATTGTGTAATTCATTTTTATGAGGAGATTTTCAAGCCATTTTATGGTTCCGTAGCCGAACACCGGCCTCGTCCTGGCGGTTCAGCGTCCGCGGTCGCTGACGCTCGGCAAATTTGGAACCATCGGCCGTAGTTCTTTCTTGAACGTGAGTCTTGTTCAATATAAAAAATTTTTAACCTGTTCAGCTAGTCAAATAGTTGCGTATACATACCGTTTATTAGCAGGTATCCTCTATGCGACTTTTATTGCGCGCATATCCAATAAAAATGTCAAGATAGGAGTACCATTTTGTCATTTAGTATTATATCGGTATCCCCAGTAAGTTCTATTTCCTGGCTTTTCATTCTTACCTCATCTAAGAAAAGGAAAAAATAATCGCGAACTTAAAGTAATCTATTCATGTATATTTATTTTTATCAACTTAAGCAAACTGATTTTCTTAATGAATAGTAGTAATTTAACAAATGTTACCTGAATATTCATACGTTGAATAGAATTTAGGTTTCGATTCATCATTTTATAGTACGTAGGATTATAATAGAATTCATGCTAATCTAATTGATAGCAAGCACAATGTTTCAAATCATGACATGGAGCGTCAAGAACTCTCTTCCTACAAGAGTGACCTGAAACTTTTCCTCCGTACTCTACATCAGACGCTGGCGTTCATGATGTCGTATGTGGTGACGACAATCCAGTTCTACTACGCCGCGCCTCCCGCCGCACCAACACCGCACGTCGGCTTCATCAATGCCACCGACTTGTCACCGCCGCCGATGACGAACTCCAGCAACTACACAGCTTAAAACCGGCGATAAACTATTGTAAAATTATGAAAATATGATTTTAAATTAGAAAATCCCTTCTTCTAATTTCCTATTGTGTCCTGTATTGATTTTCCTCTTATTACATCATGAACACTTGCGATTGGCGCCATTGCGAATCAAAAGAAAATTTATGAGAAAGTCATTTTTCACTTCCATGAAATTTTCTCTGCCGTGTGCTTACTTACTATACTGATTTAGTACTTAATGATTTCGTATTTTTATTCTATTTGGGAGAGTGATATAAAATTCTGTTGATTTTTTAGTGGGTTATATTAATTTAATCCTATTTATTTTAACAAATATCATAACAGCTTACGTTCCATGTGCTCCAACAAAAATACCTTAACTATGAAAATCATGTAAATGGAACTCTCTGCTTAAAAACTTAACAATAATACAATTTCTCACCCATTTCATTGCCGATAAAAACGTCTACAGTTAACATCGCTCTACCCAAATGAAAAACGTCCGTAAATTATTATTTCATTTAGACCAATATTAAGGCTCAATGTGCGTTAATTAAGAATATTTTCGTTCACCCAAAGATCAATTTTCGATGTAGCAATTAGAAGTTTGAGGATCAGTCCTGTAGCATTGACCTTTATGGCATTCTTGGTACTACCTTAATTTTATTTTTTGGGCCATTTGTGTTTATTTGCCAAGATGTTTAAATACTTGATGATGTTTTGCATAAATAGCGAAAGTGAAAACAGAGGATGTTCGGTTTTAAGCTACTTATATGTTTGTCATGCGTATATATGTATTTTGTTTGAATATTTTCGAGCAATTTTTATAGTTAGATTTTTGTCCAGCCGCTCATGTTGCTGGCTTGGTCCAACTTGGTTGCTGGCTACATATTTTTTTGTCGTATATTTATTTCAGGAATCTCCATATGAGTCTGGAACTTAAGGTCGAATCCCAAAAATAGCGGAAGATCCGCAGTGTTGTTCACTCGTTTGTCTATAAAGATACACCAGACAAAATCTTGCTTATTTACTGAGCTTAATTGACCGTCCTATATTATCACCTGGCTGAACATTGAACAATGCAGGGATGAAGAGGTTTTATTTTTATTTCCTTGACTCTGTGGTACTTGACGCTGAATGAGATTTACCTCAACCGCTACCTGTACGTCCTCATCCCTAAAAATACTCGTAGTCGTTGCCGACCCTTTTTTTCTGTGGCACCCTATTGCAAAGTAATAAACGACTTATCCCTCACTTTCATCAGCTTCGTTAGCGTTCTCAAAGAACTCCAATGAGAGTGTAAGGAGGCACAAAATTTAACTGCGTAGTCCAAATAATTTATTCCTCTTTACCAGTAGTTGTCGTACAACTCAATCAACAAAGGTTTTCTTCCAAGACATTTTTGGAACAATTTAAAGGTAGCGTCTGCGCATGGATCGAGCGACGCATAGAAAGGCTGGTAAAAGTGCATTAATTCTTCGCCGCTGATCTTCACTGTCATATTGTTTACAAGCGACGTCCTGTTTACCTCATACCTGTTGCTCGTAACCTTGCAGCGCTGGCTCTCTTATCCATGTCTTGAGAGTCTCTGTTTCTCAACAAAGTACTGATATTTTTAGTGTTAGTAAACCCGCCATAGTTATCCGTCACAGGAAGTGTTCGTCATTTATTAATGTTCACTGGTAGATATAATCTTCGTACGTGGCGTTATCATCCAGATCACGAGGCGCGCACACTGCACAGCGGAGGAGAAAAATGACGTACATAAAAACAATGAAAAAGCGAATCTCATCGATAAGTCCGCTTGGTGGTTGCCTGTGCGTAATGGCATTTCAATCGCCAGTTGCCAAGTGAGCTAGGACTCATTTTAATTAGGAAAGATGTGGGTATCCCTTTTATATTACAAACATTCATTCTTATATATTAAAGACAGACAATTTTTTCTTACAACTCTTATGATGATCTCACTCTTCAAGTCTCTTATAAAAATGAATATAAATGAATGAAAAATGAATGTAGTGTAGCGCTGTGCTGCAGTTACTCCACAGATGTAGCGCTGTGCTACAGTTAGTCTGCAGATGTTGCGCTGTGCTGCAGTTACTCTGCAGATGTAGCGCTGTGCTGCAGTTACTCTGCAGATGTAAAGTTGTATGAGGCAGAGCAGTGTCGTGTATTTCATAAAGTTGTATGAGGCAGAGCAGTGTCGTGTATGTCATGAAGTTGTATGAGGATTGAATACGAATATCTATAGGCTGTATTTAATTCTTCTTCCAAATATGAAAATCATTATTTGTAATTTTAAACTGAACTTAAATATTTTCAATACTATTATTTTATAGGAACAGATGCACTCACATTTTAATTAAAACACAACGAAGATACGCATATGGAACTAATGAAATGCAGACGTGAATAAACTTTAAATTACATCAGATTACGATCTCACGGGACCTACAGAGCCAACCTCAGTCATTAATATCTTTGCCGAAATTTCTGTTTTCAAAACGTAAACAAATACGCCGTTAAGAAATTCTTTTGGAATAATCTCAATGCCTCTTCTAAAACGAACGTAAATAAATACTTTTTAATAGATATTAAAATAGTATATATTTACTTTCGTTTTAGAAAAGGTATTGAGATTATTAAAAGGTTCTATTTCAAATAATCGAAATAAATACTTATACAATAGAACAAAAATAATTTGTTGAATACTTGTTCCAAATCTATTTTTTCAATTCAAATCGATATGTTGAGTTTTACACATCCCCCTCCGCACAATGCATACAAATTGACTACGAGAAATTACTTAAATTTTTTCTGCTTTGTTTAATCGCCGACACGCAAGAAGTCTTCTGTTAGACCTGCCGGACGCCGCTCTTTTATCCATCAGTATAATTACTTCATTATACGGCGCCGCTCTTTTATTCATCTGTACAATGAACTTCTTCCATACACCGAGCCCCTCATTTATTTATCAGTATAATTAACTTACACCTCATACCGTGCTGCTCTTTTATTCATCAGTATAAATAAATCTTCCTCATAACGTGCCGCTCTTTTATTCATCAGTACAAGTTCTCCCTCATATCATACCGCACTTTTATTCATCAGAATAATGAACTTCTTCTATACACCGAGTGTGAATAATTTCACACAATCGTTCTTAAGGCAAATGATAGTAAGTTGAATGATAGCTTCAGAGATTTATTTTATTTATTTAGATGGAAATATTTATAGATGAATGTTGATCAAACAATAATTGTTGGTAGACTTGATGGAGTCGGCAATGGTCTCGGCAAGGGAATCAAGGACATCAGAAAATGCGTCATGCTATCGTCATCGGCGCCAAAGAGTTGCAGCTGGTCTTGAACAGATGGAGTGATACTGAAAATGAAAAAAAAGGGTGCAGGCTGAATACAGGTGAATGAACAAGTAACCGTTTCTAAATTTCAAAGTATCATATGAGATTTTGAAACAAATAGTAAAACTGAATGTTAACACACCTGAGTTAATTGTGGACTCAGTGTGGTAATACACTTTTTGAAGAGACAATTCAATGACAATAGATGAAATCAGATTAAGGAGGATGCTTCAGTGGGGAAATAGTATAGAATAGTTGAAGAGTTTGATTTGAAAGAAGATTAATGAACAAGTGACGACTTACGCTGTTGACAACACAGCTATTTTCAGTGCCGCCATATTGAACTTTAGGTAAATTGAATTTTAATTGTTGAACGTGATTAAGATCAAAATTAATAGAATTAATTGAAACTGCATGAAGCATCCAGTTGAAAAAATGCAAAGCAGTTAGCAACTAAACAAAACGAAAGATACTCTGGCACACAAACCAAGGAATAGATAAATTGCAAAACAAGGAAGAAATTTAGATTTATGATTGAATGCAGGTGAAGTAACGGCGGCCGACGACAGGCAGGCTGGAGATAACGAAATTGCGTGTGGCGACGGTGGTGTATCAGTGCTAACTCTGATTTGCGGAAACCCGGGTCTGACCTAAATTATCCTAACATTAAACTTACCCTAGACAAATCTTAATATTGCCCAAACATAAATTACTACTAAATTCAGTTTAAAGAATAGAAATATGATTAACGGTGGGAAATTTTCCACTGCACGAGCCCCTCATTTATTTATCAGTATATAATTAACTTCTACCTTATACCGTGCTGTTATTCATCAGTATAAATAATTCTTCCTCATACCGAGCCGCTCTTTTATTCATCAGTACAAGTTCTTCCTCATAACGTGCCGCTGTTTTATAAATGAAAGTTTATAAAGTTCCTCAAACTTTGCCACGCTATAATAATCGCATCTACATCAGAAACACATAGAAGCGGCGATCATTACTCTAAATGAATGAAGCTGTTATGATTGAGAAGCCGGCACGGTGTCGTTTGGAATCATCTTTAATTTTTCTTCAAGTTTGTATAAAAATATTCATTCTCACTGTCATGTCCGATAGAGCTTTAAACTCCGAGGAAGTTCTTATAAATTCCAGCAATCGAAGACGCAGTGCGAGACTTGCATTCGCTTATACAGAGAAACTTGCATTTAAAATATCCACAACTACCGTTAGGAATGGCCAAAGTCGTGGAAGATGCACTTAAAGTTAGCATAATTGCTTTACAATTCTTTGGATTTTATATAGAGCATAAGAACATAGATGCAATTTTAGCTGCTGCTCCAGCTTTGTCACACCCTTATACTGCCGACGAGCATCCAAGCCTTGAGAGCGTCCCGAGCGTCTCACCTGAAGTTGAAGAAACTCCTTTGACTTCCTGAAATATCTAAGTTTCTTCATCTGATACGACTTCCAGAAATATCTAAGGGGAATTGAAGAACAAATTCTGCAGATAGACGAAGCAGTGGGGCTGATAACGGATGTTTATTCTTGGATTCTTATCTTCATGTCCGTTTGGTATCTCTCGGATCTCCTTTTTGGCATTTACTTGTTGATGACGAGTCTGCAGAAGGGAAATCTGGACGTGTTGCTGC